GTGGGGTACCCTGCTGCCGGCCACCTCCGCCCGCACCAAACCACCCCTTTCCCTGGTCGCGGTCAGGAAACGAGCACCCCCCACTCTCTCTCTGCAGAAGCCAAGGAGGGTTTTGGCCCCCCAGGACCTGCTGACCAGGGCTCGGCAAGGAGCGTCCGTGCGGCAGGAGCCGAGCTGGCACGGGCAGCGGGGCAGAGGTGGCTTGCTGTGCCCCCCAGCCCTCCCTCCCGTGCTGCAGACACCCTCGCTACGCAGCCCTGGGTGGAGATGCAGGCTGGGTCTCTCAGAGATGCTCCTGGCAGGCTGCACGCTGCCTGCAGTGCCCTGAGGCCCTTCCCTTCCCTGCCTCGCCCAGGTTAAGCCTGCTCCTTCCTTACCACCACCCTTTGCCCCAGCCAGCCCAGAAGCTGCAGAAGGATCTGGTGGGGCTCCCCAGGAGCCGTGGGCAGTGGTGCTTGCACTCTAGCTGATAGCAGTGTGAGCAGATAAAACCAAGGGCCCCCTTGAGATGTTGAAGGGTGCCAGCGTGTAACCTTCCAGGCATCCAGGCGCTGGTGGTACCCGCTGGCTCCAGCATCTCTCTGGGGCTGCAAGGCAGCAGAGCTGCTCAGCCCTGCCTGTCCTGAGCGATGGTGGTCCTGGGCAGCAGGGACCCCAGGCTGGGTGTGACATGATGGCAAGCATGCAGCCACAGGGCTGTGTGTGTGTCCCCAGGGAGGAGATGACAGCCAGCCAGCACCCGCTGCTCCTTCCTGCCCCATTGTTCCCTCAGGGCAGTGTTCCCTTGGGCTGGCGTTGGTGTCTGGAGACCTTGCTCATGTGAAGCGGCGTGGGTGACAAGCACAGCTTTGTTCACCCTGCTCTGCAATGCAGGACAACAGCCCTGCCCTCCTCCCGGTGCCCCTGGCTGTGTCACGCTGTGCTGAGCCCCCCCGCCCCAGACGTGCCAGCCCAGGAGCTCACAGGGTGCACTGAGGACATGAGGCTGCCCCACACAGCCAGGACAGAGCAGAATTAGGGTTAGAGCATACACCTATGCTTTAAGTCCCTTACATCCTTCCTTGCTTTGTTCCTGCATGGCCCATATCCCATTCCTCTACTCCTTGCAAACTGAAGGATGTGCTGAGCCAGATACCACAGCCTCAGAAGGCTTTGTCCACAAATACTATAAGCAGACTCAGCCTGAGCACTATATGAAAAGAAATAAAAGCTAATTCCTCACCCTAAAATACCAGCTCACAGCCTCCTATCAGATCCCAGACTTGGTCCTCTTCATAGCTTCCCCCATGTTTCCTCCCTGCTAGGAGCAGCCCTGCAACACAGCTGTGCTGGGGCCTGAGGGCACTTCTATGCCTTACTGGCCCTGAGCAGCCTCACCTGAGACCCCCACCCAGACAGCCCTGGGCCCTTATTTAAGCCCAGCCCTGGGCTTGTACTGGCTTCTGCTTGTGCTCTGCTGCTCAGCTGCTGTGGGCTGTGCCCAAGGAGGGAAACACTGCATCAGGGTCATTCCTGGTGCTTCTTTCATTCTCCTTGGAGGAGCACCCAGGTCTTGTTGCGTCTTTGCAACCCCCTAGCTGGGACAGGAGCTGGGGAGGCTGAGGGCTGGGATAGGGTGGGTGTTGCTTGGGCTGGGAGGTGGTGGATGGTGCTGCTGGCTGCTCTGCTACAAGCTGCACTTGGGCTGGCTGGGGACTTCTTCCTCTAAGAATGTGACCTCTATGTAATGGGGTTGTGACAGGGTGTGGGTAATAACTGAGGTCTTAGTGCCCAATTATTGTATGTTTTACATATATATCTAAAAGTGCAGGCAGCCTCAGGGCTCTGCCTGTGGGAGCTCCAGCTGGATGTACTGCTGCCAACATCCTATGGAGCTGGGTCTGCTCCTCTGCCTCGCTGCTGCTGTCAGCCCTTGGAGCTGCTCACCTCCCTCGGCATCCCCAGGGACAGCTCAGCCGAGGTGTGGTCACAGCTGTACCATGCTGTGGGTGCGTGCACCCCTGCACCCTGACCTGGCTGTGTTCCTGGGTTTCCTCCAAAGCCTGCTCCACAGATTGGGATGGGGGCTGCTGGTGCGAGGGAGCAGGGGCAGGGAGTAAGGGTTCCCCCTTCTACCTGCCCAGGCAGCTTTAAC